CTATCTATCTATCTATCTATCTATCTATCTATCTATCTATCTATCTAAGGGTGTACACAATATTCTGTCTGCGTGTATGCCTGCAGGCCAGAAGAGGGCACCAGATCTCATTACAGATAGTTGTGAGTCACTGCCATGTGGTTGCTGGGAACTGAACTCAGGACCTTTGAAAGAGCAGGCAATGCTCTTAACTGCTGAGCCATCTCTCCAGCCCCATGACCACTCTTAAAATAATAATGAAAAAAAAAAAACTCTAACCCAACAAGTCAGAAAGAAAAGTTCCAAGTCATTCTCTGCTATGTAAGTTTGGTTTTACACACCCTGTCCCCCCACAAATCAGACTAAGCTTCAGAGGAAGCCTAGAGAATAATATATATAATATATTATTATATTAATATATAATAATAATAGTATATTATTAGAAATATATATATATATATTTATAGAGAGAGAGAGAGAGAGAGGGAGGGAGGGAGGGAGAGAGAGAGAGCTGTAGACGTAGAAAGCATGGGGTAGTCCTGTCTTTCTCTGACCTTTTCCCCCCATTGGATTTTTCTGGGGTCTGGCTTACAGCCAGTGCTGAGGTTGGGGAGGTGGTGACAGATTGGGGGTGAGGACCTGTTGGACCTGGAAAGCCACTCCCTCACCCACAGCTTTTATAAATGAAATTCAAGCAAATCTCTGTGTGGGGTCAGGTGGCCTGGCTAGTTAAAAGTCAAGGATCTCAGGGCTAACCCCACAAAGGGCAATGGTCACTTGGGTCACAAGGTTATAAGGCAGTCCTGGCCCATTCTGTTCTGAGTCATGAAGGACACCAATAGATGGCTCACCTGATCAACATTCTCCTATAGGCTGCCCCCACCTCCCCATCCCCCCACCCCTACCCACACTGAGCTGATACCCACCCCCTCCCAAGCCCCTCCTTACCCATCCTCCAGTACCTTGCTCCTCCTTCCAAATGCAGCTCACTCTTGGTTCAAGAGTTGCTAGACTGGGCTAGCTCTAAAAGCTTGCCGTGGGCAAGCCTTAATTCAGACCTCTAGCCATGTGCTTGAACTCTGATCATGGGTGAGGATAGGAGGATGAAGGGGTACTGGAGTGGGTGAGTACCTCTTTGCAAATTTCTGCAAAAAGTGTTGTAATCTCTTAGCCTCTCTCCCTCCTTCCCTCCTCTCTTCCTGGCGCTTGTCTCTGTGTGCATTGTATTCACATGTGCACATCATGCATTCTGCCATTTGGCCACGTGCAGCCTCCCTACCTTTTGCTGCTGTCTCTTTAAGAGCCTGTTTTACAGAGGATGTGGGACTCATTGTAGGAGGTGTAGGTCTCTTTGAATTCAGGTCTCTCACTTTCATTTTGCTTTACTGGGCTCCTCTCCGGAAGGACAGCTCTCCTGTGTCCACAGGGTGGCATGCGAGGTTTAAAGAAACTACTTGGGTACTGGCTGTCAGGGTGCTATTTCAGCCCCGAGGAAGTGCCCGCCACCATATGACAGGCCCAGATTGTTGAGGAATCCAGGGAGGTGAGCCTGAAGACAACAGGCTAGCTGTAGGTTTAGGAATAGCCTAGAACCTACCAGACACAACCGTGAAGGGACAGCTAAAGAAATTCAGTGATGCTGGAACCTGGTGGTACTGTCTGCTATGCCAACACATGGGAGACTGTGGCAGGAGGAATGGGAACTTCAGGCCATCCTGGGTCACACAGCAAGCAAGCAAACCCAAACAAAACGATATAAAGAAGCCAGGTCAGGGTGGGCTGACGGGTGTGGGGACTGCCATGGACCTGGAGCCTGGGGAGGGAGGAGGAGTCAGAGGCCTCTGCTATGACACCCTGGAGGACATGGCTTTGAGGAGGGTCCCCTCTCTGGGTCTTTGCAAGTGTGGAAAGCATTTTCCTGGCCTTCCTGGGCCTGAGGATGGGATTGGCTGTTCCCCTGAATCCTGCAGTAGGATGCCCTCTTCTCCTGAGCCCCAAGCCCACGACAACTCCATCAGGGATCTGGCTAAGGGAGGGGGATGGGAGGGAAGCCAGTGATGCCTCAGAAGATCTGGCCCTTTAAGGTCAGAGCCCAGGCGGGTCAGAACAAAGGCCCGGGAATGTAGGCTGGATCAGGGAGCAGAGCCAGCCAGCGTGAGTCATTTATGTTTCATGGACTCAGAATCCCTGGCTCCTACTTGCCTCGGCCTTTCCCATGGCCAAGGGACAGCACTCAGGGCCTGTCTGCAGAGCTCACACCAGGTGACTCCATCCAACCCAAACCCTGCTAGGGAGGGGGTCCACGAGCCTGGGCTCCTGGCTTTGGGGCTCAGCTCTACCCAGATTGTGAGTAGATAGGAAACTGAGATTAGATCAGGGGGAAAGCCAGGCCCATGGAGGAGAGGCAGAAGAACCCTTCTTCCCAGAAGTACAAACAGAACCCACATTGTTCTCTTCCTTTCTTAGTCTGAGATCTGTCTCCCAGTGCCCATCTCTCAGGGGCTCGCGAAGGGCCTGCTCTCTTTAGCCCTGTGTTTTCATTCAGAAATAGTGGGACACTGAGTCTAGGATCCAAGAGGCCCTGTTCTAGGCACACAGCCCCAGAGACTCCCAGCCAGGGAAACCTGGGAACCTAAAGGCCACTCACTGTAGTTGGTGTGAGTTTGAACAGCGGGCTGCAGAGAGAGTAGAGGTAAACTCAGAGTACCTCCAGGACCTGACAGTATATGGGCTTGGTGACTGGGATGGGTAGGTTAGGGTAAGCACACCAAAGACCCAGTTCCTGCCCCTTGCCTCGCCTTTCTCCTTCCAGCTTACAATCCCTTAGCTCTCTTGCCAGGCCCTATCCAACTCCCAAGACTGGGGATCCCTTCAAGTCAACCCAATTATTCAGCCCTTCATCTTTGTTGTTCTGTATTCTTGCTTCTTTATAAAACTAACGTGGTCAGGAAGGGACTGCCTCTTTAAACAGAAGAGTAAACATGTTGTCACATGGTTTATTGACATTCTAGTTATCAGGGACTCATTCTGCTTTTTCTTAGAAACAAGATCACAGGGATGCTGTCTCACAGTGTGTGTGTGTGTGTGTGTGTGTGTGTTCTGGAAGCTGGATAAGTAACTGTTCTACCAAGAGGCTACAGAGGACCTAGAGCCCCACAGGGTGAGCACTGCCAGGAGGTACAGGAAGCTGAAGGTGGAGACCTGGGTCCCCCTCCCTGATTGCTCTAGCTGAAGTGTGAGCAGGCCAGCTCTCCCTGAAGCCGAGTTCTTTTTAGCAGAACCATCTAAGAACGGGGAGGCCCCCTCCTCTGGGCAGAGAGCTTCAGGGTTGAGGATATCTGCTGAGAGGAATTGAGGCCAGGCAGCTGTGGGGCCAGGCAGGGTAGAGGCAGTGAATCACTTTGCCCTATGCAGCTCCAGGCACTGGTGACCTTTGGGTGAGTCACTGCCGCCAGTTTTGAGAAAAGCCATGTGGGCAGTGTTTCTGTGTGTCAGCTCAAACTCAAGTTCTACACAGAGGAGGCCCAAAGGAGCCGTGACCAATGACGACCTTTCAGTTGGCCCCAAAATGGCAGTCCACCCAGGAGTCTAGAAAGATGGTGGTGAGTTCCAGGCTTCCTGATTTCCCACCCCAGGAAAGGGTGGGTCCAGCCCAGGCAGAGCGCTTGTTTAAATAATGACTTCAGGAAAATTATTCCTACTAACGGGTTTTAGGTGGGTGTTGGAGCGTCTGCTGGCCTGTCAGAATCCGGCTTGGGAGGATGATGGGCCTGCCCATTGTCTTGTACATGTACTGGAACCGTGTAGCCTCTGTGGCTCCAACATCCCAGAACGATGCAGCTCATGGTTATGGAGGACATACCCAGCATCTGGCACCGCACTAAATACAGGACATGAGTCAGCTGAGCTCTCATTTAGTTCGGCAAAGTAGGTGAGAACAGTCACCTTCTAGTGAGCAAAATGCAGAAAGCCCAAGCAACTCGCCCCAAACCACACAGCAGCGTTTCCCCCGTCTCTGTACTGGAGTCTGCAGTTTGACTGATCTACTACAGTGTCCCAGAAGCTAAAGCGAATTACTTCGGTTCTAATGATAAACATATGAGTTCTGCGTGGAGGCACATGTCTGTAACCTCCGCACTCAGGAGGCGGAAATAGGAGGCAAATAAGGACAACCTGGGAAAGACATGAAATGAAACAATGAACTCTAAAGCTGAAATATGTGGTGTGAGATGAAAGATGGCAATCCCATAGTCTGGGAAGGGCACGCTGCTCAGTGGAAGTCTAGCCCTCAGCCCCAGAGAAGCTTGCATCAGGCTTTCCGGAGTCTTCACGGGCTGTGTCCCCAACCCCTGCACTGCTGTGGAAAGATAGGACATAGACGTGAAGGTAAACCTTGGATTCAAAATGGTAAAAAGGAAGCCGGGTGGTGGTGGCACACACTTTTAGTCCCAGCACTCAGGAGGCAGGGGCAGGTGGATCTCTGGAGGCCAGCCTGGTCTAGAGATCAAGTTCTAGGACAGTCAGGGCAACAGAGAGAAACCCTGTCTGGAAAAAGAAACAAACAAAGAAAGTTAAGAGCGGGCTGAGGAGAGAATTTGGGAGAACAGGTTTGACCTCAGCTTCTTTGGCTGTGAGATGGGAACATCTGTACTGTTTGCTGTGAGCGACTGCAGCTGAAGAAGGCTTGCCTATTATTCATGAGGCCTAGAGTTTGACAAAGGGGAGGAAAGGAGGAGGAGAGAGACAGAGAGAAGGAGGCAGCCCCTAGCAGGGGCGGGGCAGGGTGGGGGGTGGGGGATGGGGTGGGGGAGGGCGGAAGAAGAGGAGGGAGATAGGTCCTTGAGAAATACTGAGCATACTCAAGAGAAGCAGGGCACCCCTCCCCAGCTCAGGATTATACTCCCACGTGTGGTTCGACAGGCATTTTAAACAGTCTCTTCTGCCGCAGGGCCTGTCCCAGCTCAACTTTTGGTGTAGGCACTGGTTAGCTTTTTCACAAGCCCCAGGGACTTGTAACGTCTCTCTCTACCACGACTCTCTCCACGCCCAAGCCCTGCCATACTACACCAGCCTCCCAAGAAAGAGGATGTTCACACAAGCCTGATGACACCACATCCAAGGTCCCTGTTCCTGCACTGGGCCACTCACCAGTCTGTCTCCTACTCCTCTCCCCACCCTTCCCCATGGGGGCCGGCTGACAGCTAACCGTCCTGGAGGCTCTGCCCGTGCCCCAAGCAGGATGCTGAGAAGCAATGGCATACATTACTCACTGATCTCTGAACACACTCCACCCTTCCCGCCTGCTTCTGGAGGCCTGTCTGCCCTATGCCCCTGGGAAGTGTCCCCTCTCTTCTAACCTCTTCCCCACCAGGGATACCCTACCAGGTACTGACAGGCTCTGCTCCCCAGGCCTTTGGCCATCTTTAAGCCTCTAGATGGCTCCCTCTGCTGTGTCTTCCCCATCCCTTTTGGGACAAGGGCTCACTGCATAGCCCAGGCTGGTCTTGAACTTAGGACTCTTCTGCTTCTGCTACTCTAATGCTTGGATGACAGGCTTGTGCCAACATGTCCAGCTACTGTCTCTACCCTTTAGATCCCCTCTTGCATATTTTTGGGTTGCACAGCTCAGTGTCTTGCTTGTGTTTGGTGTGCAGTGCATTTTGGGATGCTGAGGAAGGAACTTAGTATATCAAGTATGCTAGCTACACTGTGCTCATCCACCAAGTAGACTCCTAGCCCAGTATTAGATTTTACTGTCTTTAGGTTTGTTTTTTTTTTCTCCCCCAAAGAAAAGATCTTTAGGGTGAGCCACCTGGGACATCTCCTCCGGGACTGGAAGTGGCTCGGGATTTGTGTTGGAAAACCTGCTCTACCCTAAGGACTGTCTTTTCTCCTCTTGACTCCACTCAGCTGTGACCCTCATGAAGGGCTGATAGACCCAGTGCTGTCACTATCTTCAGGCCAAAAACCCACGGAAGTGCAGACCTCTGCGGCCCTCTGCTTGGGGCAGGCCCGGTGCCTCCACTGTGCCGCCCTTGGCCTTCCATGCCAAGAGCAGCAGTCTTGCCCTTAGAAATCAACAGCGGCTAATCCGCGGTAGGGCGGGGTGTCTGCTGCGTGTTATTCTGCTGATAATCCCTGACTGGCCCTGAAAGCTCCTCCAGCCAAGGGTGCAACCTCAGTGGGAGGCTCCAGCTCTTGTTCCAGGCAATAGGCCTGGGACTCAACTCCGCAACACCAAGAACGAGGGGCGTGGCCTTCGGGGGAAGGGCTGCGGTGCTGCGGCTGTCCAGCAGGGGAAGCCAGGAAACAGCTCAGCGAGACTCAGGTTAGCTCAGCTCAGCCCCTCCTGGGCTGGAATCCAGGTCCCCTGATGCCTAAGTGACAAGGGCCAACGGGGTTGATCCTTCACAAGAGGAGGCTGAGTGTGTTGGGAGGCTGCAAGGGAGGACCTGCGTGGGAGAACTCCGTGGGGCGTGGGACCTGCTTACTCTTTCCAAGGAGTTTGTCCACCTCCCCTGCAAACAGAGCTTTGCCTGTGGCCTTCAGGAAAGACGACTCGGAGTGCAGTTAACCGTAGATTGACCACACACAAACTGCCCTAGAATCCATCTGCTCTCCCACAGAACCCCGGCCAGACCAGGACACTTTCAGGCTCAGCACTTTGCTCTAAGGTTTCTAGACTGCTTTGACACTTAGCCCTAGAGCTCACTTTGGCTTTGGGGTTCACAAATACTGTTCTCAAAGCAGTATTCCCCAGGCCACCTCTGCTGACCGTAGGTGGATCCGCTCTTTAGGAGTTAACATGTAAACAGTTAGAGTCAAAGCAGTGTTGCTGGCCAGGCAGAGCTTTCATAGTGTGTAGCTAGTCCCCAGTTGTAAGGGAAGGAATTGAGGTTCCAAGAAATTAACTGCCCGAAATCTCCAGATCTGAAGGACTGTGTGCCCATATGGACATTCTTTTTTTTTTTTCTTTCCCATATGGACATTCTTAAGCCTGGGTTCTTTCTTATATACGGTTCTCAACGTTTGTGGATTTGAAGTAGAAGCAGCAACAGCAGCAGCAGGGATCACACAGAAAGGAAGGTGCTGGGTTGGAGGTGTGGCTTGGTGATAGACCACTGACTTCCCTTAAGTGTGAGGGCTCGATCCCCAGCAGGGGTGGGGGCTGGGTAGGCAGTCTCTGGTTTAACAGCTGAATCAGACACTCAGGGGAGGAGTACCCAGGTGGTGGCGGTCAGGTCAAGGTCGGGCATGAGGCCCACTGTCCTCTCCCTGACTCCCGGAGGCCTCCTCCTTTCTAAGTACCTGGGCTACACTTTCATTTTCCTTTGAATTCATTTATTAGCACCGTTTTTTATAGAAAACCAAAAGCCATAACAGTTCAGTAATGTTGCTCAGGATCACCCAGGTATTAGAGTTATTGGGATTTGAGTCCAGTTTGACTCTATGACCTGGGTCCTTAAGTCACTACACCATACAGCCCTGGAAACAGGGTTCCGAAACCTCGAAAGGCCTGGTATGGTCGCTCACACCTCCAATCCCAGTGTTTAGGAGGCTGAGGCAAGAGGATTGTTTAAGGCTAACCTGGGCTACAGAGGGCATTCTAGTTCAACCTTGGCTTTAAGAGTGAGACCTTGCTTCAAAAAACAAACAAACTGTCAAAGACAGAACCACTCTGAAGTGTTTTAATGTAGTATTTCTAGATCTTTCCACGGAATAAATAACAAATTAAACCAAACTTAAGTCTCATTTTATACAATCAATCAGTATGGCCTGGCAGCTTCTGTTCCCTGTACCCATTATTGCCACACTATTGCCTTGCTTAAGAGAGCCTGAAGCCCCTTCTTTTCCTCTTTTCCTCCCTGCATGGGCACTGAGGCCTCCTGGATGCTGGGAAGTGCTCTATCACACTGTGGTACGTTATCTCGAGCCTCTGAACCACTTGTTTTCTCCAAGACTTGATGGGGAACCTAAATCCAGATAGAAGCCGAAATCCAGAACAACAACAAAAAAGTAAGTAAAGAAAGAAAAAACAAACAACACACCCATAAGACTTTGTGTACAAACAACAAAGCCAGAAGTTAATTATGGAGCGGAATGTCAACATTGCCCATGACCGTGAGAGAGAGTTTGGAGTGTCCCCACTAGAACATATATTTCAAAAGGCAAGAATTATTTGTTTGGACTGTAAGGCAATTAGAACAAGCAGTACTAACAGTTTCTGGCTATAGTCCAGGTGAGAAGGCCCTGTGAAGGAGCCGGTGTCTGATATCTGACAGCTAGGTGGGGAAAGGGGAAGGTGGTGAATTTCCCACCCCGCCCAGCCCTGCCAGAGCCAAGGTCCAGTTCAACAAACACAGTCCAGCTTTTATCACGTGCAGGCATCAAGGATCCCTGCCTGCCTCATAGTCCAGTCCTCCCAATCTCCCAAAATGGCAAGATTTAGCAGGGAATCAAGTTTATAAAGTGGAAAGCCAGGAGAAAGAAAGCCCCTTCATCCCGTGCAAATGTGAAAGTTTCAGAGACTCTAGATTTGGCTCACCACTCTGGTACCTCACTGGGCATGGTAAGCGATGGAGTGAATGAATGTGCTTTCATTCAGAATAGGTGGAAGGAAAAGGAGTTGAGCTCCATGACTCTCTCCAATGGAGCATCTTGCTCACTCAGCAAGGACTACGTGAGTGTCTACTGCAGCATCCTTGGTCCCGGCCACAGATGAGACAAAGAGAGGAGGATGCTGGGAGCACTGGGTCAAAGCTGGGGTAAAAACTGTCCTAACGAGGGCCCTTCTGATTGACTTGTCAGCCTGACTCAGCAGGACAGTGCCAGCTTCCATTAATTAGAAGAGGCCTCTCAGGACCCAGGCCTAGGTGGGTCGCCCACATCCAGCACTCTTCCCTTCCTTTCCAGGAGTGCCGTTAGGGATCTCACCATTCTGAGATACAAAGATACAGTAACTGAACCCACATCTTCACTCTGTAGTGTGTCTTCCCTCTGATGCAGCAGACAAAGCTGAAGAAAATCGAGGCGGAATAAACAACAAGCAGCTGCAGGGTTGCGTGCGGAGGAAGGGATCCAACTTAAGCCTGCCTTCCATGTCTTTGCCGGGTGATCCTGACTTGAGCCTGCCTACCAAGTCTTTGCTGGGTGACCTCAGGCCACCACGAAGCCTGTTTCCAGGTGGGTGAAGGAGTCTTCTGGAAGACTTTCTTCTCACCGGAAACCAGCATAGGCCTAGTCTGGATTTTAGCAAACCCACACACAGTAGTTTGCTAACCAAGGTCAAAGGAATCCCATGGGAAACAACCCAACAACAGGCTCTGGCAAACCCGCCCCTTCTCTGTCTTCCTCTGGTCTAATGACTGAAACAAAATTTGTGCAGAGGAGAAGGTACCCTCCCTCCTACTGAGCTACATCCTCAACCTGCTCCCTACCTCCCTATGGCTGAGACACAGTCTCCTACGGACCTGGCTAGCATTAGTAGCTGAGGATGACCTTGAACTCCTGATCCTCCTGCAGGTGTTCCCCACCACGTCTGCCTTTCTCACGAGTATCACAGGGATTGAACTCGGATCACCTGGCCCACAAGGCAAGTGCTTTTACCTGTCGATTGATCTTGCCAGTCCTGTGACTATTTAGTGCCCTTACTGACTCAATGTTGCGTCCTTCTTTCCTTCCGCCATGGAATATCAGTTTAAGATGTGTTACATTTTATGTTGTGGAACATTTTTTAATGATGCAAAGATGTGTTGCATTCTTTCATACTGCATTTGTTTGACTCTGTGAAGCTGGGCTACTTTGCCTAAAACACCTGGTTGGCCTTATAAAGAGCTGAAAGACCAGTAGCTAGACAGAAGAGGGATGCGTGGGACTGCCAGGCAGAGATAAAAATAACAGGAGAACAGAGAGAGAAGCAAGAAAAGGAGAAGAGAAGGAAGCCAGGGGCCAGCCACCCAGCCACCCAATCAGTTACAGAGTAAGAAGGAAAGAAATATAGAATAGAGAAAGGTGAAAATCCAGAGAAAAAAAGGTAGATGGGATAATTCAAGTTAACAAAAGCTGGTTAGAAACAAGTCAAGCTAAGGCCAGGCATTCATAAGTAAGCATAAGTCTCTATGTCTATTTATTTATTTGGGAGCTGGGTGGTGGGCCCCCGAAGAGCAAAAAGTAAGAAAAACAACTTCTTTTCTTCCTGTTTTCTTGTTGTTGTTGTTGTTGTTGTTTGCTTGTTTTTTGAGACAGGGTTCTTCTAGGCAGCCCTGACTATCCTGGAATTCTCTCTGTAGACCAAGCTGGCCTTGAACTCAGAGGTCTGCCTGCCTCTGCCTTCCAAGTGCTGGAATTAAAGGTGTGTGTCCACACCTACATTCTGTTCTTTCAAATTCTCCATATATGCCCCCTCATTCATATTTCTTTCAAACCCTCTGAGGAAATCTTAGAGAGATTGCAAGGTCACACACAGCTGGGAGGTAGAAGAGTCAAGATTTGAATCCAGGCCTCTCTGAGGTCAGTCTTCCAAACTCCTAACCTTCGAACTATTCTTTGAAGCACTCATAGCTCTTGGTCTTTTGCCCTGGTCATGGAAGGCTGGAACTCTGGGGAAGTCAGTTCTCCAGTGCCCTGCACAGTGTCTGGCCAGTACTTATAGCAGGAGTGGACAGATGGATAGATACAGAGTCCTCTGTGCACACTGACCCCACCTCGGCACCCGCATTGTCCTGCCTGGAAGTTTCTCTGCAGCCCAGAGCGGTGCCCCAGGGTAAGGAGTCAGATGTCAACCCTTCATGCCCTCACCTTCTAAAAATACTAGGGGCATGAGCCCTGCTTGTCACCACACAGCTATCTGGTTGTTCCCTGTATGGTCCCTGTGCACAGTCCAGCACCTGCTCCCTCGAGCCTTCCCGCTTGACAGCTGCCCCCAGCATCCCATGACTTTCCTGTAAGACCAAGGCCAGATTTGCCTAAGAGAGAAAGAACTCTTGAGCACCCAGGCAAGGCCAGATCTTCAGGCTGGACTTTGGGACACCAAGGCAGTTTTGGGCTTGCATAGGAAAGCCAGTCGTTCTTTGGCCAGGGCTCTATTTCCAATTGTGTGTCCTGCTAACTTATGGGGAGTTTGAGCTCTAGCCCATTTGAGGGCTGTGGACATCTAGGACGCTGGAGTTGGGACGCAGCACTGACCCTTAGCTGCCATGTGACTTGGGTCCTCTGTTAGTCACCTGCTAAAAAGGGGATAACAATATTATAAGAGTGACGCTATCATCCTATTTATAAATATATCTATTTATATGTACAGATAAGCCTGAAAGGATATAGCCTGAACTGCAACAGTGTCATCTCTAGGTTATGCCTGACAGATTCTTTTTTTTAAATTTTATTATTTCATGTGTGTTTGCCTGCATGTGTATCTGTGTACCACATGTACATCTGTGCACCACATGTGCATCTGTGCATCACATGTGCATCTGTGCACCACATGTGCATCCGTGCATCACATGTGCATCTGTGCACCACATGTGCATCTGTGCATCACATGTGCATCTGTGCACCACGTGTGTATCTGTGCACCACATGTGCATCTGGTGCCTTTAGAATCTAGAAGAAGCATTGGGTTTCCTGGAATTGGTGTTTCAGACAGCTATGAGCCCCCATGCGGGAGCTGGGAATTGAAGCCCGAGCTCTCTCAAAGAACAGTTCTTAACCACTGAGCCATCTCTTCAACCCCCGTAGACGGATTCTTTTATTCTTTTGCTTTCTCTATTTTTTCTTGCTTATTGATTGGCATTGAGAATTATTCCCAGCCCCTTGTGCAGACTGGGTGCATGCTCTGCCAGGTTCCTGTATTGTATTATATAGTTACTTTGCTTCTTGACCCATACCTGCTAAAGAGCAACTTAAAGGAGGGAGGCTTCGTCCTGGCTCACAGTTTGAGGGCATGGTCCATCATGACAGGGAAGACTTGGCATCAGGACCATGACACAGCTGGTTACATTGTGTCCACACTCAGAAGGCAGAGAAGGGCACTGTTACTCAGCATTCATCTGAGACCCAAGGCAGCTGTCAAGCAAGAGGCTTAATGGAGCAGGTGCGGGTCGCAGACAGGGACGGTGCAGGGAGCAAATGGATTGCTATTGCTGGGCGGTGACTGTCAGGACTCAGTCCCTCTATATTTTTAGAAAGTGAGGGCATTAAAGGTTGGCATTTGCCTCCTTACCCCGGGGTACTGCCCTGGGCTGCTGGGACCCAAGTCTGGTGCTGCCTGCATTTGAGGTAAGTCTTTTCAGCTCAGTTAGACCTTTCTGGAAACACAGGTCACAGATACGCTAGTGCAGTTTCCATGACAATTCTAAATCCAGTCTAGCTGACAGTTAAGATTAACTCTCTTACACGCTTTTTCCTCATTGAATGAGTTATTTATTTACCTAAGTGTGGGTGGAGACATTAAAGGACAACTTCCAGAGGTGATTTTCTCCTTTCAACCACTTGGGTCCCAAAGATCCCACTCAGGTAGTTAGACCTGCCAGAGGCTCCTTTACTTACTGAGTCATCTTGCCAACCCAATGTTTTGATTTTAAGTGCTTAAAAAAAAAAGCCAGATATGGGGCTGTTGATATAGCTCGTGGGTAAACAACCTACCTAACATGTTTGAGACCAGGAGCATAGCACCCACTGCGAATACCAGCCCTTAGGAGGCAAAGAAAGGAAGAGTGGGGTCTGAGAACAGCCTGGGGTACCACTCAAAACCTTGTCTCCAAAGAGAGAAAAAAATGATGACAGCAGGGCACTGAGCCAAGTGTGGGGTCTGTCTCAGGGCTACCTTCCTGGGCAGAGAAGCCAGCAGCCCTCTTGTAAGTACAGGAGAGAAGGATTAGGGGGTGTCTAGAGAAGAAGACCGCAGGTCCTGGGGAAGCCAGTGTCCACTGCGCTGTTCATGTCCTGGTCCAAAGTTGTTCTCTAAACATTGAGATCTCCCAACCTAGTCTGGTTTGATCCTTCCCTTTGGGGTGAGTGGAGATTCCCTCTTCTCAGTCTGTGGTGCCAGGAAGGCTGATTGGTCTCTCTCAGCTCATTTCTCAAGAGCCAGGATTTAGGAGCAGTAAAAAGCACAGATTTAGCCACCTTGAGAGTTGGAAGTGTGCGGGAAATCTCTCCTTGCTGGAAAGGGCTAACCTCACTTCAAGGCGTTTGATTTCAAACCGTGGGCACTTTCCCTGCAGGGGGGTATTGCGTGCAGCCTGTGTCCAGACTTCTTGTTCTACAAGCAGAAAAACAACCCAAGACTGAGGGAACCTTCTACCATCACCCAGAACGTATACTGAAACCAGAGCACAGGTTTCCACAGCACCAACCAAATATCCTCCCCAGGTTAGGGCTGCAAGACTCGGGTTGAGGCAGCCCTCTTGAGCATCTTCCATCTTGGTGACTGTTCTCAGTAAGGAGTCACTGTTGCCCTCATAGGACACAGTGCTTTGGGCTCTAGAGGTGTGGAGAGGCATTCAGATCTGCATGGAAGGGACCTACCCACCCCAGCTCTAAGTTCGTATTGATTGCAGATAGTAGAACTGCCCAGAATGGAGGTACCATAGCAACAGAAAAACATTACCAAAGGGAAACTGTCGTTATAATCTCCTGGAGACTCTGCCAGGGTACAGTGGTAGTGGAATAAGTCCTGGCCTGGCTTCATGACAAAACCAGAGTGGGTCAAGGGTCAGACATATGAATCCCTTTTTTGTGGGGGGAGTGAAGGGTCTTGGGACAGTGGCTGCCTGCAGAACCCTGGGAATGCTGACATGCTGAAGCCACCACAAAGCCTCAGAGACGGAACCATTCCAGTTAAATTAGCAACTGCAATCACCCAGAAGGTGTCAAATACGTGGTGGACTCTTCAGGAAACGGTGTGTGCACAGGAGCAAACTTAGACTCACAGTTACCTGGGAACCAGAGGCAGGCTGCATTCAAGGATAAGCGAAGCCCCGCCCCATAGAATGAAGTCATGCTCAGGGATATCTGGCCAGTAATCTCTGGAACCAAAAGGAGAAGTCCCTGGACTTTCTAGCTCTGCTGTTTCGAGAGCTGGCCTCTCACAGTTGCTTTCCATCTCCCTAAACTTCCTCTTCCTCTTCCTCTCTGGGAGCACCCCAGCCAGCTCTCCAACCTTGGGCCTCTGCAGCTAAGGACTCGAGCGTGTCACAGGCATGGAATCCATATTTGTAGGCTAGACAGCTGACTCGTTCCCACTGTTTGGGATGCTCTCTTTGCCCTTTGAACTACCACCAAGTGGGTGCTTCCATCCTGGAAGCAGGCCTTTTCCACCACGAAGGTTTTGAAGGTATGTTCCCACGCTGGACCTCCCAGGTTGGTCAGTGTGTTTGTGCAATGTTGTCACTTACAACTAAAACATTAGGAGAAGTGAAAGACTAGATCACCGTTCTGGTCTTAGTCCTTTTGAGAGTCCCAGTAAGGAGCTTAGTCTGGCCCCAAATGCCCCATCCTCCTATCTCAGCCTCCCTAGATTACCGGATTGAAAACTGCCTTGCTAGCTCCCAGGCCCACTCTTTAGATCTGAAATTGTGACTTGGAGGGTACTGTTCATTAAGGAGTGCCTTGGAGGTGACTTTTTCTAGGCTTCCATGTGACTTGGTAGGCAGGTCTCTGGGGGCCTGCGGGGGAGGGATCTCAGACTGTGAAAAGTCAAACTAATTTACAGATAGTAAAATAGGGAAATGAGGGGAAGTCCCCATGGTGAAAAGGCCTCTTGTGTCTTTTCTGATATTTCTCTTTCCAGTGCTGAGACTCAAAGCCTGCCTCATTCTCCCTCCAAAGATCCCTTGAAGTAGCAGTGCTCTCTGGGAATATATTTTTTAATCTTAGGACGAAGAAAACTTTCTAAGTATGATGAGATTCATAGGCTCCAAAGCTGCTAGTGATTCTCCATTTGTGAGTCACAGCCCCTTTGGGGCTGAAGGGCCCTTTCTCAGGGGCGGCCTTAGACCTTGGCAAACAGACATTTGCATTGCAATAGCGGCACAACCACAGCCATGAAGTAGCACTGGAAATAATCTTGTGGCTGTGGGGGTCACCACAACATGAAAAACTGTATTTAAAGGTTTCAGCATTAGGAAGGTTGAGAACCACTGCTTTAAAGAATCCTGTTTGTGTCTTTGTTTTTGAAGCAGGATCTTACTATGTAGCTCAGGCTGGCCTGGAGCTCACTATGTAGCCCAGGTTGACCTCAGCTGAGCAGTGGGATCACAAGGTTGTACTACCACACTTGGCTTCAACAACAATAATAACCATTTGAAAAAAAAAAAAAGAGGCCCAGCCACATTGCTTAGGAGGTCCTTGAATTCCTGGACTCAAGTGACCCTCCTGGCTCAGTTTCTTAAGTAGCTTGGGCTACAGGAATGTACAACTGTACCTGGATAAGAACCTTAAGCATCATTGCACAAAATTGAAAACTATTTGAACACAATTATTTCACTGTGTAGACCATGAGTTCATTTTGCTTCATAATACTCCTATAAGGGTCCAAGGAGATAGCTCAGTAACAAGAGCACACATGCAACATAAAATGTGCGAGCACACACAAGCACACACACACACAATCACACACAACACACACACAGCAACTTTCACATACTACCGTCATCCTCAGTTTGTAGATAAAAGCGCTAAACGGTAATTCTTCTGGTAAGTCCCTTCTTCGTTTTGTTTTTGTTTTGTTTTGTCTTTTTTAAAAAAAAAACGAACACATTCCTTCTTCCTATAAGGTAATGTCCCACTGAGTTGCCCAGTCTGGCCTTGAACTTACGCTATGCCCAATATGCCTTGAATTTGAGATCTTCCTGCCTCAGCCTCCTCAGTGGGTGTCACAAGCCTGTGCCACCTGGTTCATCGCACAGTGGGACTTCAGAAGGCGGCACAGAGGTCAGCCTGGAGAGTCAGTCGAGGCAGCCATGGGGTGTGGTGAGAACGGTCATGAGACTGTCCACAGAAGGGTCGAGAAAGTAGAAGAAGCAAGACACTGACTCACTGGATGCTGAGGATAGAGACCAGTGCCCTGCTTCTGCTTGGAGACCATCTCTGTGGGTTTTAGGCTGGGAGCTCACCCCAATCCTGCTCTGCAACCCAACAGGATGCAATTTAGAAGCAACTTTCCAGGAATGTGGCCTTCGTGTAAAGAGAGGGCACTTTGGTGATCTGTGTGGGCACATCTGCCAGGTCTGGATTCTGACAACCTGCTGGCCCCTTGCCAGGCTGTTGAGAGGCCTGCCAGGGTCATAGTCCATTTCATTTGACACTCATTGCTAAACTGAACCCAGGACAAAACTATTTTCCTTAGAGACAGAAGAGAAGGCAGTGAGTGTTGAGGCCCTCCTCTTTTCAAAGTGGATGCTGGGCCCCATGGTTCCCTGCTCCTGTCTCTGGATCCAGAACTGCGATGACCTCTCCCATCCCCTGTCTTTGGGAACAGTGAGGGCAACTGTGGGTCCAGCAGTACTGTACCTGATGTCAGGGCTCCCTGCAGCATCTCCCTCACCTCCTGTCTGCTGACAGCCCTCTCACGGGGCAAAAATATCCCTGTCACCTCACATTCCTGCTGCGCACATGTCAACAACTTGTCTTGGCACTAGGGCCATGCTTTTACTTTGCCATAATAGCTAAGACACCACTGTTAGGGCTGAATACAGACTCATCTGTCACCTTGGCCAGAGGTTGGGAGCAATTCTAAGTGTAGAAATTTCTAGAAGGGCAGTAGTACTTCAGGAGCTCAATAGGGTTAGTCATAAAACCAGAGACCTTTTGGCTGAGCCCCGAGTATTAGGAGGGACAGTGTCTGCTGTGGACAGACGTCACTAAGGGAGTGGCAGGGCGTCACAGTTCTGGCTTCTCTCCCTCAACCCAGCTTATCTTCACAGGCAGCTGGCCTCGGGCTTGGTGGGCGTGGCTCTAGAGGGGTTTCTGCTGACCTGTCCCCCTTCTAAGGGGAAAACCCATGGGGCAGCATGAACTGCTAGTGGCAGGTGGGGTCTGAGAAATAACTGGTTGGCTTTGAGCGAAGAACCTCCCCTGCTCTTCTAACTCCCCGGCTCTCTTGCCTATTCCACCTTCCTGAGCTCCTCAAACCTGAAGGCATGGAGCCTCCGCCGCCAGTCAAAATACTACCCCATTTACGTTAGTGAGGAACTTGGGTTAATCTGTAACCAATGAAAGATGCGGACTTTGAAATGAGAACGGGGTCAAATCCTGCTTTACTTCTTACTGGGCCTCATTAAAAGTCATGCTCTCCTTCACTAGGTTGCCCTGACAGCACAGACAGGGTTGTCAGAAAACCACGCTGGTGCCTGGGTAATGGGCTTGCCAGGGGAGCCGCCCGAGCTCCGAGGAGTTACTGCTGACCTGCTTCCACAGTCCTGAGGAAGGCTGTGGGCTGCCAGGCAAACACTCCACCAGGGAGCTACAACCCCAATCCTGTCTTGGATTTGAGGCAGTCTCATGAAATTGTCCAGATAGCCTCGAACATGCAATCCTCCCAGCCTCCCTAGTGGCTGGGATTCCATGCTGCTCTGTCACAAACCCTGACTCATTTCAGGAGAATCCTACAGAATGGTCCTAAACCAAAGGACAGCACTATCTGGAGAAGAATGACTGGCTTCCGGGTCCAGATCTCCGGGGAGACAGTGCTTGATGAGCCACACTGATATGATCTTCACGGTTCTGTCTGTCTGTTTTGAAATGGAATCTCGCTGTGTCTCAAGCGCTTGCCTCAAACTCCTGTGCTAGAGAGATCCCCCTGCCCCTGTCTCCCAGGTAACTGGATTAGCGGCCTGCAATACTGGATCCAGCCACAGGTTCTTGACTTGGAGCTCTAGTAAAAATTAATTTGTAGGCAGATGTTTAGGTGCATGCCTATAATCCCAGACCTTGGTTGGGAGGCTGAGGCAGGAGGATTATGAATTTGACATCATCCAAGGCTACGTACCAAAACTCTGTCTCAATAAATCAACCAATAGATGAATATGCAGATGAGAACAGATGGTTATAAAAGAGTAAGCCTAGTATTTCCTCATTCCCTGCAGCTCTCACTGTATGAATGTGCTCTCTCTCTCTCTCTTTCTCCTCTGTCTTGTGTGTTCTCTTGCCATGTTACCATATGCCATGGTACCCAGCCTCCTCAGAGGCCATGTCAATGCTATGCCTTTACATATTCACAGATTTGAATTAACCCATGTCCGTCTTTCTTTTTTTTTCAGGACAGGGTTTTGCGTAGCTCAGGCTGGCTTCAGACTCACTATGTAGCCAGGCTGACCTTGAACTCCTGGTTCTGCTGCCTCTCCTTCCAAAGTTCTGGGAGTAAAGGCATGTGCCATCCCTCCACGCAACTGCTCTTCTCCATAAGGTGCCCAGCACCTGACATTTTCTTCCAACAACACAAAACAGATCACGACATCATGCCTTTCCTGAATCTCTACTCGACTTTTGGTAGAGTAAATTCAGCACACACGAAAGAAGAGGGGGGCCGACGTTCTAGAATAGCATCGTCATTACTATTAGAACCTGAAAAACGCTCGCACAGCCGTCTGCGAGCTCCCACGTGCAGCCAGTGCTCTCTGCGTTCACCCACACCGCATCTGGGTAGTGTGTCTCCATTCCCCCTCATCTACCTGCAATGTGTGTGTCACACAAGCCAGGTCACTTGTCCTGTAGAGCCACTCACTCGCAGCGTGGTATTTAGCTTGCGAGATGACCTCCTCGGGTTCACACCCTGTGCTGTCCCTTCCCACGCTGGATCTGCCCCACCAACAGGAATGCTGTACTTCCGGTGCCCCGTGTTTTCCGGGGCTGTGTCATAGACGGCATTGTTTCCATTTTGCTGTCTTTTGAATTCCTTGCTCTGGGAACCAGCTGCTATGCCATCACCCTAGCATCCTCTGGAGATGACAGGAGGCTGAGTCTTGAATGGGAAGCAGCAATTCTTGGCCAACCAGCCACATCAAGTATGCATGAGTCTTTCTCTTCACTATTTTTTTTTAATTTTTTTTATGATTTATTTATCTTTTTTTTTTATTTTATGTGCATTGGTGTGAAGGTGTCAGGTCCCCTGGAACTGGATTTTCAGACAGTTGTGAGCTGCCATGTGGGTGCTGGGAATTGAACCCGGGTCCTCTGAAAGAGCAGTCAGTGCTCTTAACCGCTGAGCTATTTCTCCAGCCCCCCTCTTCACTACTTTTGAGATGGAGTTTAGCTTTGTTGGTCAAGCTGCCCCAAACTCCTGAATGCTAGCTCTCCTCCTGCTTCAGGAGTGACGGCGACTACAGGTGTGAACTCCAGGCTTGAGTGAGCAGCCAGGGAAGTGGCCCCTTTATGCGCAGTCAAGCCTCTAGACTCTTTAGGAGAGATGGTCTGGACCTGGTTGACATCCTGAATACAGTCCTGTGGGCCTCCAAGGCAGACCACTCCTGAGAGTCGACCTCCAGAAGCCCCCTGCTTCTCTGCCTCCCTTGACACATGTGTCCAGTGGTTAGACCTGGGTTGTGTGGACTCAGGGTCCGTTTCGGGGAGAGATGCTCACCCTCGGTTTTGGACGCTCGGGAACATTCTCTATCTGACTTCTGACTTTGTGTTCAGTGACTGACTGGATACACAATTCTCCATTACAGGTGACTTTCATCACGCCATAGTGAAATATGTGGTGATCGCCAGCCTACATCTTTGCTCTTGATTAGGCACGCCCCCACCCCTTCCCCAGCTGCCTTTGCTAGCCCTGCCTGTAGAGTCCTGGCGGGTTTCCAGCTCCTCCTTTTCCTTTTCTTTGTTTGTGTGCATGGAATATGGATGTGCTCACGTGGGCCTGTGCGTGAGTTTGCGAGGGTGCACACACTCATCTGAGGGTGGGCATGTAGAGGTCAGAGGTCAACGCTGCAGATCTTCCTTGACTGCCCTGTGGAAACAGACCACACCTCTTCAAAATGGGCAACACGGGTGCTCACTTCTGGGTATCTACTCCAGGGAAACGGAAACATGCCCAGAGAGTCACCCAGGCAGGAGGATCACTGCAAGTCTGAGGAGAGCTTGACTATACAGTTATTTTGAAGAGGACTCTGGAATAGATTTTTTTTTCCAGAGAGGGGAAAAAAATAAAAGAAACTTTTTCCTTAACCAAGGAAATAGTCAAGAAAAGAGGAAAAGAAAGGGCCAGCAAAGGGCTCTGTGGGTGAAAACTGAGCTCATGATGTCAAGCCTGATGCCCTGGGTCTGTGACCCAGAACTTTTATGGTGGAAAGAGGCCAACAGCCTTAGCCTCTGACACACACACACAAAATACATACCTGAATAAATAAGTGTGAAAGGGAAAACAGGCTGGAGCTGTAGCTCAGCTTGTGCAGTAGTTGCCCAGCCCATGCTAAGTCCCGGACGTGGTGGCAAAAGCCTACAATTCTGACACTTGGGTGGTAGAAACAGAAGGATCATAAGTTCACTCTCTGCTACTTAGTCCCTACAGTTAGCATCACACTTAACAGAAAGAATCTGGAAGCTTCCTGGTATGATTAGGAATAAGATAGGATACCCTCACCTCTTGCTCTTCAGGAGGGCGAGGCCTGGGGCTTGAAAACGCTGTGCTAAGTGAGAGTAGCTGGGCACAAAAGGCCAGGAACTACACGCCCAGAAGAGAAAAAACAGTAGAGACAAAAGATAGGTTAGTAGATGCTAAGACTAGAAGAGGAAGAAACACGTCGGTCTGCCTGTCTTTCATTCTTCTTCTTTCTTCTTTCCCCCACCTCTCCTTTTTTTTTTCCTTTTTTGCTTGCTTCCTTCCTTCCTTCCTTTCTTTCTTTTTTGTCTTTGGAAACCACTTTACGCTATAGCTCAAGCCAGCTTGGAATTCACTAAACAGCCCAGGCTAGCTTCAAACATGTGGCAATCCTCCTGTCCGCAGTTCTCTAGTGAGGGGCGGGGTCTCATGAGCCCCTCTCCTATGCACAGTGAAGTGTTGACGGGCCCAGTCGTGTGTGTGTGTGTGTGTGTGTGTGTGTGTGTGTGTGTGTAGGTAGCCACAGCTGCAGTGGGCTTGTGAGCATGACTGGCCTGTCCCGCCCAAACGACAGTTTCAAATTGCTCTTCCCCAATTCTTTGCACAGTTTCTGCCTCCGTCCCCACGATCTGCTCGGAGAAGACACTTGGGCCAGAGTGAGTCTCTGCGTTAACTGATGCCCAGTAGAGACACGGACCACGCAAACCAAGCAAACCTTCCCTGCTTAAGTTATTGCCCACACCCGTTTTTGAAAGAATCATTTAATACATACGTTGCAGAGGAGCAACAGACTGGACAGCAATTGTACCGCCTGCTCCTTAAGTTATTCCTGCTAGGTCCTTCCGTCGCTGTGAAGAGAAGCCTGACACAGTCATCTGTATCTGATCTTAGCCGAAGGCTGAGAAGCGATTGAAAAGCTTCCATCACAAATAATTAAAGAAGAAAAACTCTGAATAAAGTGACATACAGAACACCTGCTGAATGTATTTATGATTTCAAACTTTCTTTCTAGATAATATCTCACTCTGTAGCTCAGGTTGGCCTTGACCTTGAGATGATCCTCTGCCCCAAGCCTCTCCAGTGCTGGATTACAGACGTACACTACCCAGCAAGAATCTCAACACTCTGAGCTAAAACAAAATGCTGTTCTAGACGAAGTAGGCTAGTTATTAGAATGTTCTAGGTTGTGAGCTCATGTCTGATTCTGACATCTGTGTGTCCTTAAGTCTGTGCTTCCCCTCTTGTGTGTAGAATGAGAACAATAGCAATGCCTTGCTAGGAAGGCTGGTGGAGAAATTCATGGTGTCCCTGCTATTATCCTATGCTCCCTCATGGGCTGGCTTTTGAAGCTTCTGTCATGTTTCCCGTTACAGTCAATCACTGGGAACACAGCGACAGAGAAGAACCTTGTGGTGGTTTGAAAGAAAATGACCCCCAAAGGGAATGGCGCTATGGTTTGAGTAGGTGTGGTTTTATTGGAGGAAGTGTGTCACTTTGGAGGCGGGTTTTAAGGTCTCATATATGCTCAAGTCATGCCCAGAAAGACAGACCACTTCCTGTTGCCTGCAAGATGTAGGACTTTCAGGTACTTCTCCAGTACCGTGTCTGCATGCACACCACATGTCCCACCATGATGATAATGGACTGAACCTCTGAAACTGTAAGCTGCACCTCAATGAAATGTTTTCCTTTATAAGAGTTGCCATGGTCATGGTGTCTTCACAGCAATAGAATTCCTAACTAAGACAAACACTAACTTGATCCTGACATTAACGGGTAACGAGGAGCCAGTGAGGGGAAGTAGGCCATAGAAACAGTGTAAAAGCAAAGAGGCATCACATCGCATAAAGCCAAGGGGATGTTTTATATAAAATAGGTTCCTGACTTTAAACGATGCTTTAACTTTTTTTTTGTTTTGTTTTGTTTTGTTTATTTTTGTTTTGTTTTTCGAGACAGGGTTTTTCTGTGGCTTTGGAGCCTGTCCTGGAACTAGCTCTTGTAGACCAGGCTGGCCTCAAACTTACAGAGATCCGCCGGTCTCTGCCTCCCGAGTGCTGGGATTAAAGGTGTGCGCCACCACCGCCTGGCCTGCTTTAACTTTTAGAAAGTGTTTCTTATTATTGTTTGTGAGTATGACGTATGCTTGGGCACACACATGGATGTGTACATGTGGAAGGGGCGGTTGAGGCAAAACGTCTTTCCTCTTGCCATTGACCAAAACTCCATGGAGATGGACCTCTTATTTTGGAATTGATAATGGCGCTTTGGGATTTATAATGGAGCTGCTATTGACAACGTACTCTACTCTTTTTATTTAATTTTTATTTTTGGCAGATCTGGGGATGGAACTCATAGCCCTACAAATGCCAGGCAAGCGTTCCACCCCTGAGCCACAGTACAGCCCCTGACAATTCACGGGAGAGTTGCAGGCCTGCTAACCGCACAAGGGCTGTGAGCAGACTTGGCATCAGTGTGAGGTGAAAGCCGGACTGTGGAGGTGGGAGGGTCTTAAAGCCCTGGCCAGAGGAACCCTCCACTGTAATGTCCTTCCTGCGGTGAAGTGCTTTCTGCGATTCCAGCAGGATTTCTCGTTGGAACCGCTTGGTGTGAGTGGGAGGTCCCCCTCCTGAGACAAATTAATCTTCCCTATATAAAAGCATTTCCCAAGCATCTACAGACAAGTTTCCTGTCAAGAAATGAGCTTGTTAATAATCGGGGAGATAAAGAAGTGCTCACAGGCAGCCCTCATACACGGCTGCAGTGCGCAAGCCCGTAGCTGTCGCTCTGATGTGTGTAGATGTGTACAGATAGCGCTTTGCCAACGACCTGTCTCGAGAGTGCTCAAGGTTTCCTACTTGGCTGTAGCTCAGGGGTTTTCTTTCGTTTCCTCAGGACATGGGTAAAGTTGCCAGGCCCTCTGTTTGTTAGGGAGCAATATCTACAATGGGACGTTCCGTGCCCCCTTCTTGCTCTTCCTCTGACTGGAGAGAAGAAACTAGCTGTGGGCTCCACAGAGGAGTGACTGAGCTGGTCAGTGGTACCAGCCAGGGTACACAGAGAGGGTGAACGGTGCGGATCTGGCCGCAGGCCACTGCAGAGAAAGAGTTCACTAATAACTCAGCTTCCACTGGTGAGGAATGAGGAGACGGTGGGGGAGACATTCCTGTCACTCAGTCTGCCATCGTGACAAAACACCCAGTGACATTTTCTCAGAGGATGGAAGGTTCGTCTCGGCTCATTGTTTCAGAAGCTTTAGTCCATGGACACCTGCTCTGTGCAGGGGTGGAACATGGTGGCCAAGAAGTAGAGAGAAGGTGTCAGGGACAAAAGAGACAGAACGCAGTCCCCAAGGACATCCTCTTCAATTACATCCTACCTCCTAAGGCTCTAGTGCCTCCCAATGCCAACACCAAGGTTTCACCAGCAAATCTGTCCACTGATGAGGCCAGACCTTCTCAATATGGTTGCCACAGTGACGAAGCATCCCCATGGGAGACTGGGGGACACTTCCGGTCTATCCCATGACAGCACCCAAACACACTCTTCTACTAGATCCTCGTCTCTAATGATGGACACCACTGCCTTAATGGAAAGTTTAACCATGTATATGTCCATATTTTAAAAAATATTTTGGACAAGAATGTATCTTTTCTATAAGTTTAAAAAAGCTAAAATAGATAAACATAAATTTTAAAAGTATTTCTTCTTCAGTTAATTATTTCAGTGGCCTTGAAACCCTAAAAAACAAAACAAAACCTTAGTTTTCAGGCTGGATATAGTGGCACAAAACTGTACATCCAGCCTGCAGGAGGGGAAGGCAGGAGGATTTGGGATTTAAGGCCAGCCTGGGCTATCCAAGTTCCAGACCAAATTACCTTTCCACTGTAAGCAGTACCTCCATTGTAGACATTGGTTCTGAGAGAGAATCAGGACCGTGTGCAAAGGGACACTTTTAAAAAGTGTTTTTATGACAAGTTGACTGGCTTTTGTTTTTGTTTTGAGAAGGAGTTTCCTGTAGCCCAAGCTTGCTCAAGTTGATTTGTAGCTAAGGCTATCCCTGAACTCCTGATCCTCCTACTCTATCTCCCAAGTGCTGGGTGCACCACCACACCCAGCTCATATGGCATTTTACCACAGTGAAATTGGGTAGAACCAGAACTAGTAATAGGGATTGATTAAATGAAATATAATGTAGTCATGATGGGCTATTGCTATTGGTTATTTCTATGATATATACATTTGGAGCCCAGGCCTTCTATATAGCACATTTTACCACTGAATGACACTGTCAGCTTGCCTAGTTATTATGAATGGTTCTATAAAAAATTATGATGGCATGAGTATTGTCCAAGTAATTTTATTAAATTCCAAATATCGTTCAAATAATTTCAAATTGTCCCAAATGTGGCACTCTACAAAGCAGTGTATGTGGATCAGAAACTAAGTGTGAAAACATTAGCTGTTGTTATTTCTGAGGAATCAAATTGTAGATTATTTTGATTTTGTATTTCTTTCCTAAAATTGTCAAAGGGTTCATAATGAATGCATAAAACTTTGTTGTCACATTGCAAGATAAATAGTTTACAAAAAAAAAAATCCCTTACCAAGAGATGACAAAAACAAAGCTAAGTAAATGTCTGTGGGACATTCCAGTTCAAGGAACAAGGGCATCCTAACCACCAGGCGTTGGCCGGCATCATGCTCTGCTAGATTTACGTGACCTCTGAACCTGGCAGAGTCTAGCAGGTGGGCTGAGTAACTCCACTCAGACATGAATCCAGGGTTCAGAGGGGAGCTTACAGCATGATTATGGCTTCACTGAGGTCTGAGTCCTGATATCAGGAGAGTTAGAGGAATTAGGTTCCTTGACATCCTTTATGGCATGAAGTGTGGTGCCCTGCACCCAGCATGCCAAAGGGGGATCTCATTTCCCCTGTCTTACTAGCATGCTCCAGTGCCAATGCTTGTATACCTCAGTCATTGTTCCCACCTTACTGCCCACCTGGCAGGGTGTTAGTGTTCAGCCTGCTCTGCTTGGTGTCTGAGTCTTGGGGAATATGGCAGAAGCAAGTTGGCATAAAGACTCACATTAATCTGTCCTCCAGTCTCCTGAGCAGTTGTGGGGGTGTCTTGGCTGCTGTCACTCAGTTCTGACTTCTGGGCAAAACGTCTTTAGCGATGGGTCGTTCTAAGAGACTGGTAGTGAGTGGTCAAGACTGTATTCAAGAGAAGTTAGGCTTGTAAGAGAGAAGGGGGTGGGGGAGGCATGACTTGAGATTAGATTAGGGCAAGATAGAGCGTGGAACTGTTAGATGATGGCTTACCTTTGTCTTCACTCATTATGAATGAAATTTTTTTTAAGATAGGTTCTCCTAGCCCAGGTTGACCTTGAATTTGCTATATAGCTCAGGCCTTAAACTTTCCATAATTCTGCATCCATCTCCCAAGTGCTAGGATTTGTAGGAATGCCCAGCCCTAATATTTATGCCATTACAAAAAAATTTTGAGTTCTCAAGGAATATATAAACAAGGTATTAGGCTTCCCTGAATCCTCCAAGAGTTAAAACAGCCTGTCCATCTAGCAGGGAGAGCTCTGTTGGGAGATGTGGTCACACCAACCCAAATGTTTGTTCCTAGCTCCTGTCTTTGCAACTGGCTTACCACTGCATTATTGGAGGATGGCAGAGTGGCCACACTGAAAACACTCAGTGTTGCTGAATGAATGACCTGGATTTGTACCCTCACTTTCGCTTGTAAATAGATGTGGGGTTTTTTTTTGTACTATTTGCTACCAATGGAAGTTGTTCTTTTTTAAAATTTAAGCTTTAGAAAGAAACAAAATTATTTTTAAAAAGTTATTATCATTTTATTATTTTTTATGTGTATGGGTTTTTGCCTGCATGTGCACCATGTGTGTACCTAGTGACCATGAAGGCCAGAAGAGGGCATTGAATCCCCTGGAACTGG